TTAGGCTCAAAACTTTTCAGACTACCCTCGTATATAAATTTCCAAACGTACTTTCTTCGTTATCATACGCTTTAAAATAAGAATACATGTAACAAGTATCTAAAGTACTGTCATTTTCAGCTAACATTGCACACGTATCACAAAAATGCTTTTTAAATATACGCCTTAATATGTATCCACAAATATAAATGAACACATTTTCTTCTGTTATCGGCATGTCGCGGTAATCATAATTGTTCAGATCAATAGTTATTTCTTGTTGTGCATTTAAAAATTTTCACTGATGTTAAATTCCTGACATTTTATTAATACTGCATCCTCATCAGTTTCGCAATTGCCAGTACTAGCTTTATTATATTCAACGGAAAAAAATTTTTTAAATCCATAATAAAATTGAATTGACGTTGAATTGAAAGCGTTCCCATTTTGGTTACGAATACTACCAAAAAAATTTTGCAAAGAATCTTGGTTCAATCTCCTGGTTAGTAAATATTTAATAGAATTTGATGATTGGTTGTAAATCATTTCATAACTGTAAGACAGAATTTATTGTAATAATCCAATATTTAAGAGATTTTATAGAATTTGTAACATTTTTTTCGTTTTTGCTAAATACTTTTATATGCTGTAAAAAATCTGCCATTTCGATTAAAAAATTTGTTCATTTGTATTTGTGAATGCTTGTTTGTTCGAATCCTTGCTATAAACTTTCGAAGAATTGAGTATATCAAATAAATCCGTTAATAAATCAAACTAATCAAGACTCCTTATAAATCAAAGAATTGGAAAGAGTAAGGGCACTAGGAGTCGGGCGCAGAGAACGTTGCGCAAATAATACACTTATAAAGAGTGAAACTTCTTTATTCACTAAACGCGCTTACATGTTTCGACTCATTTTTGAGCCTTCCTCAGAGCAAACACGCATATATAAAGTAAAATTATCCTATCATAGTGAGCTCCCCTACATCGAGAATTTAAATGTCAGAATTAAATAAAAAGAAAGAAAAGAAAATGAAAAAGAAGGAAAATATTAAAAATGTCAAATTAAAGAATATAGAAACTAATTTATCGAAAAACTAACCGAAAATAGGGACGCTCACCACGATTACAAAGTATCGTATCGCAAACAATATTATGAATAATTCAAGAACCGGTTCCTGATATGTTGACCAGTCACGGTATCAGACACAGTGAGTCACTTTTTTAGTTATTAACTAGTACTAATGAAAATTGTAAAATGATAAAAAAATTTCGTCAGAAGGACTTATTACTGTGTACGAGCGACACCGACAGTGAGTCACACACACGTATATTTATACACGTACATGCAGCCATAGCGATTTTCCGGACTGCTGTCGACAACTGTGTGCAGCTGTGTCGAAAATCTCGTGGCGCTACTTGTCGCACACGTGACATTACTTTCCGCACTGCAGATCGTGTGGGAAGTTACTACTTTCCGCACGGTCTAGTTACTTCCCGCACGGTCTTCATTTCTCGCACGGTTGTCGGAAAATGGTTACTTTTCGCACCACAAAGAGTGCGGGAAGGAACCACTTTCGATGCACATGTAATGAAAAAAAGTTTACATTAAATATGTCTCGCGATTCCGCCAGATTTCTTATATCATATGAGGTGTTTACATTCTGGTTATTAAGAGATGGTAATACTGGATTGAACATAATTGATGATTTGAACGAACGAACGCGCAGAACAAAGATTAAGAACAAGAACAAAGATTAAAAATTAAGAACTGAAAAAAGAACCGAAAAAAACCATAAAATTTTACCAGTTTGGTTACGGTTTCGGTATTATAAATTATACAAAATTTGGGTACGGTTTTGGTTTATTAAAAAAAAGGGTTCCGAAATGGTTTTCGGTTCGGTCCGGGTCCCTGATTAGAATCATTATCGCCAAATCAGCATCTGCAAAGCCTATAATGCATATTAGTCGTTCTTTTAGGGTGGCACCCAGTTGGACACGGCTCAATTGAACACGAGCCACTCACAGCGTTTGAGACTACAAAGCTCCTAAGCACCGGTCGCTGTGATTGGTGGTGTCCAATCGAGACGTGGTCAATCGGGATCACCCCGTTCTTTTATATGTTAAACAATGATCAATGGTACCTTTTAAATATTTCAAAAATTTTTTTGCTGCTTTGTAGTGCTGATCAGTATGAGTAACTATGATAACTAGTTACATAAGCAATATCAGGTCTCGAATGTACAATTAAATATATTAAAGCTCCTATTAATTGCTGATAGGGCACATAAGTATTTACTTTGTCAGTACAATTTAGCTTTGCATTTACTTCCATAGGAGTTGAGACTAATTTCGCTTCTGATGTACCAAATTTTAAAAGTAACTCTAAAATATAATCCTTCTGATTCACACTTATCACATTTTGATTTTTTCAATGTTTAATTTAGTTATGTATATATACACATGGTAATTAATATACACATGGGTTACCTAACCTTTTTTGCGGCGCACGCCTGCAGAGCGCCGCGACCCGCGTTCCATGATCTTCATGACCCCGATCGTCCGCATAGTAAAAAAAATTGTAGAAATTAAAAAAATGTAGATAATTATATTCAATTTTTTTTATGTGAAAGATTTAAAGAATCAGATTTAGTAATCGTAAAATACAGTATACATGCATTTAAGCATGCTAAAAACGTTATTATAATGTCATTACTTCTTATATGAATTGTTACTGAAACTTTTTATGGAACGTATCTTTTGGTAAATATCTAGATCAGGGGACCCCCCCAATGACCTTGACCTTGACATATGTTGTCAAGGTCATGACCCTGAGTGACCTTCAACAAGTTTTAGCTCGTTATTCGTTAAAAAGTTATGAATGAAAAAAGTTCAACTATATAACAGAGAATTCATTGCTTTCAAATATGTTTGATAGTCGTTCACTGTACGGGATGCCGCGCCGATGGCTGCAATTTTGACATATGTCATCAAGGTCATGACCCTGAAAGATCTCCAACAAGTTTTAGGTGGCTTTCAATTTTGACTCTCACCCCCACTCCAAAGGGGCGCACGATTCTCACCTTCGACTCTCATCCCCCCCTCCCTCTTGCTTCAGAGGCGCACGACTCTCACCTTGGACTTTCACCTCCCTCCCCCTGCTTCAGGGACGCACGACTCTCACCTTTGACTCTCAGCCCTGAAAAG